CAGGTGGCGAAGGCGACCGAGCCTGGATGGCAGGAAGGCTTGCAAGGGAGGGAAGGATGCACAGGCGGGTGGGGGGCATGCAGATGTGGAGGTGGCAAGGAGAGCAGAAGGAGGGTCCCAGTGGCGGCCAGATGTGGCTGGGCATTGTCTGCCCACAGTTTCCCAAAACCTGGAACCGGCCCTGCCTCAGGGTCCTCTTTTTCCCAGGAGCAGCGTTTTGGGGAGATCCATGCGCTGCTTTGGGAAGGAAGGAGGCAGGAAATCCCTGCTCGAATCGTGTGCAAACAAGTATGACGGAGAGCACAGCAGCACTCCCCGTGACTCCAAGAATTCCCCAATCACCTCTTCATCACCCTTAAGTCACCCTCGATTTTACACTTTCCTTGGGAGCGGATCACAATTTGCATTGCGTGTGTATGGTTGGGGGTGTATGGTTAACACCAGGGGTCATTTCGTAGAAAAAGAGGTGCAGGAGCTCATTAGCATAGCTCATTAGCATAACATTTGCATATGCCACAACCCCTGACATCACCGGAAGTGTGTCAGAAGGCAACACCCACCGTTCAGGCCCCACTGGACTGTTTATGATTGCTAGCTATTGGGGGGGGGACCATGCAGATCTGTCCTCGCAGAGGAGGGAGAGCTTGTACCTGAATAAAACTTTGTCTTAAAGGTGCCACTGGACTGTTTTGGACCTGGGGGGTGGGGGGGCTCTGCAACTTACCTGGCTGCTTCTTGCTCTGACTGAGGGCTGCTGGGAGCAGGGGGTGGGGCTTGTTGCATGTGCCCGCCCCCTGGGCTCTTTACTGCTGGAGCTCCACTCCTGTGCGCTCCTGCAGGAAATGACCCCTGGTAAACACTCTTTCTTTTGCTTCCCCTCTAGCCGTGGTCTCAATGTTCACTCTACCTGTCGTATATGACAAGTACCAGGTACGTCTGAAAGCCCGTTGCATCGCTGTTGATAACACTCTAAACAATCCACCTTGGCCTGAGCTTGCCAGAGCTGGGAAGCTAAGCAGGGTTGGCTGGGGTCAGTACAGCGCATCGAAATCGCAGGAGGACATAGCCCCTCTGTACACTGTCTTGGTCAGGCCGCACCTGGAGTCCTGTGTGCAGCTCTGGAGGCCTCCCTTCAAAAAGGATGTGGGCAAAACCGAGAGGGTGCAGAAGAGAGCGACGAGGGTGATCAGGGGTCTGGAGACTGAGCCCTACGAGGAAAGGCTGAGGGCCCCGGGAATGTTTAGTTTGGAGAAGAGGAGACTGAGGGGGGGGACATGATGGCTCTCTTTAAATATCTGAAAGGCTGTCCTTTGGAGGAGGGCAAGGAGCTGTTCCAGTGGGCAGCAGAGGAGAGGACCCAAAGCCACGGGTTTAAATCACTTGCAGAAAGGGTATCGGCTGGATATTAGGAAAAACGTTTTCAGGGTCAGAGTGGTTCAAAGGTGGAATCAGCTGCCCAGGGAGGTGGCTAGCTCCCCTTCGCTGGCAGCTGTCAAGAAGAGGCTGGACGAATATTTGTCAGAGATGCTTTAGGCTGGTCCTGCATTGGGCAGGGGGTTGGACGAGATGGCCTGTATGGCCCCTTCCAACTCTATGATTCCATGATGGGAGACCACCAAGGAAGCCCAGGGGAACTATGCGGAGAAAGGCAACGGCAAACCACCTCTGCTTCCTCTCTTGCCTTGAAAACTCTGCGAGGGGTTGCCGTAAGTCAGTTGCAGCCAGACAGCACTTAATTGGTATTACATTACAGCCAATAATATTGAGGATTGACTCAGTCAAGAAAGCCCACAGTTTGCAAGACCCGATCAAGGGCCAGGCTGTTATGACGTTTTAGAGGTCATAAGGTGTCTGAAATGTCTGAAACGTCTCTTGCCTTAAAAGCAAGTCTAGCTCGCCATCTAGTGGTGCGCGACGCTAAGAGAGCTAGAACTTGTGTCTGCCAGACAATCTTAGGATCTCTTGGCTATACGACACGCAATGCTATGGAATAGTAATAATGATAATAAGCAACCAGGATTACATCATGCTGAGAGCATAGTGATGATACACTGCCAACATATCCACAAGAGGGGTCGGTCTGTCTGCACTGTGCATGCTTACTTTTCGCTACTGAAGAGGGGTGAAGGGTTTACTGAGGCAATACACACAGTAGGCAAATGTAAGGGGTGTGTGAGAAGCACCTGTTTGGCATTTGTGTCCTGAGCTGGCATCCCCCTGTAAGAGTTCCTAGCAGAGCAGCATTAGAAATATGCTCAGCGACGTTTGTTTTTTCCCTTGACCGTTTGTGCCAAGAGCCAGTTTGGTGTGGTGGTTAAGTGCGCGGACTCTAATCTGGGAGAACCGGGTTTGATTCTCCACTCCTCCACTTGCACCTGGCTGGATGACCTTGGGCAAGCCACAGTTCTCTTAGAGCTGTTCTTGAAAAAAAGAGCCGTTTCTGTCAAGAGCTCTCTCAGCCCCACCTACCTCACAGGGTGTCTGTTGTGGGGAGGGGAAGGGAAAGGAGTTTGTCAGCCGCTCTGAGACTCCTTTGGGTAGTGAAGGGCAGGGTATAAATCCAGTCTCCTCTTCTTCTTTTACCTCACAGGGTGTTTGTTGTGGGGAAGGGAAAGGAGTTTGTGAGCCACTCTGAGACTCCTTTGGGTAGTGAAGGGCAGGGTATAAATCCAGTCTCTTCTTCTTCCTCTTCTATTGTGCAAAGTGTGTCAAAGAGATATCAACAATGCCGTGCCCTCTTATTTATTTATTTATTTATCTTTGCACTTATATCTCGCCCTCCCCAGTGGGCTCAGGGCAGCTAACAGAGGCCAGATCATTAGTCTTGCCATAAGTAAAAACATATAAAAGCATAATAAAAACATCACTACTAAGACTAAAGTGCTCTATCCAATTACTAGTGTCCTAGATCCAAGATGGTATCCCCACGACTCGAGCTAGTATTCTCAGCATACATATCCAGTGGCGACGGCCTATCCAATCTTCTGTAATTCTAAGTTCTTCCTAGTTTAGATACTATATTTATTCAGAACCTAGCAGGTTGATTTGCTAGAGGCTATACCAGCATTAGAAGGTTTTGGTTAGTTTGAGCTCCGTCTTACAGGCCCTGCGGAACTGCTCAAGGTCCCACAGGGCCTGTAAGACGGAGCTCTTCCGCCAGGCTTTTGAGTAGGAGCTGTTGTATTTGAGTAATGGCTGGGCCTTTTATAGCACTTAGGAATGCTGTGATTGACTGCAGGCGTCGTTAGTAACCTAAGCTGTGGTGTGGCTTGGAAGTCGGGGTCCCATCCCCCTGTTCCGGGTGGGGGATCCCCCCCCCGCTCCCATTGCACACTACCACTCTGTGCAGCAGCAGGGAAAATATTTTAAACACCCTGCAGCGTTGCATGCTGTGCTCATATCACTTCCAGTAAAAACAAATGAGCCGGAAGTGACGTAAGGTAGCTCTAGGAACTGCTGGAAACAATATGAGTTGCAGGCCTCATACAAGGGATGGCCGTCAGCATGGTACTTTTGGTTACTAGTAATTGTGTACATGGCTGTCCGTGAGCCATGGAGTGAGTATCACTGGTTTAGGGCAGGGGTGGCGAACTCATTTGCTATGAGGGCCGGATCTGACAGAAATGAGACCTTGTTGGGCCGGGCCATGCGTGTCATAAAACGGAGATATAAACTTTTTAAAAGACACAAACACAAAGGGTGGGGTTTTTTTTACTTAAAATAAGAACACGCTTAAAACATTAGCTCTGTCAGCTGCAAACCTACTTTTGATATATTGACATTCGCCACAGAAATCCCATGCTCAGAGTTCTGAGTCTAGGACCCAGGTTAAAACACGAAATGGGTGAGCGATTAATTTAGTCTGGCGAAGCAAGCTATGATGCAGCAGCAGCAGAACTGGAAGCAGGAGATGGCCAGTTCCACTGCAGGCCTGATGGAAGCCCTCCGGGGGCCTGATCCGGCCCCCGGGCCACATATTTGACACCCCTGGTTTAGGGAACATAGCCAGAGGTGCATCAGTTCTGTGAGCTGCCCCTGTGAACTCTTCTACTAATCTGATTTATCTAATTTCATTCCCCCCCCTTTTCTCCCCCCCAGGCACAGATTGACCAGTACTTGGGGCTCGTGAGGACCCACGTAAATACCGTTGTGGCAAAGTGAGTCTAAGAAAAAACTTCCTTGGAGGGGCTGAGGCCATTCTGGAGGCATCCAACGCCCCTTCGGGGTTTTATTTATGTATTTATTTATTTATTTATTTTTCATATTTGTATTCCGCCCTCCCCAGTGGGCTCAGGGCGGCTAACAAGGGCAGGCCATTAGCCATGCCATATATGAAACATATAAAAACATAATAAAACATCCAGCATTAAAACCACACTACTCAATCCGTTACTAATGTCCTAAATCCAAGATGGTAACTCCACAGTTCCAGATGGTACTCCCCTGATGTACGTGTCCAATGACGACGGCATCAGATCTTCTACTGTTTCCCGGTTCTTCCTCGGGCCTCGTCGCTGCATCCTTTAAGATACATTGACAGTGGTGGTATAATGGGGCGGCGGCTCCTACTCAAAGGCCTGGCGGAAGAGCTCCGTCTTGCAGGCCCTGCGGAACTGCATAAGGAAAGCTGCATTTTCCAGTGCAGCCTGCAGTATGGACCCCTGCCTAGGATTGCCAAGTCTCCAGCGGTTGCAGGAGACCTCCCCGCCCCCTGGCTGCCGTCCCCACAGCTGTTCGACAGGGTGGCAGAGGAAAAATTAGAAAGGGAATGTCACCTCTGGTGCCAAACCGGAAGTGACATCACCGCATCAGTGTGATGCTCTAGGATCCCCTCAACATTTGTGCGGAGATCCTGGAGCCTCACGGTGACACAGTGACGTCACTTCTGTTTTGCACCAGAAGCAGTGTTGTGCCATTGGCACAGCGATTCTTTCCCCCACGTACTGGCTCCTTTCCCTCTCCCGCTGGTCGCTAACCAGTGGCAACCTGCCCATTACCAAGCTCGGCACAGTTAAATGATATACTGAGCACTTATATAGTGCTTTCAGTGTTCAAAGCGCTTTACAAGAAGATTTTTTTGTTGTAATCGTAACAATATCATTACCTTCCGGGAAGGGGGGGGGGGAGCTGGTTTAGCAGGGCTTGTTTGAGGATATTCCGTCACACCAGCTGAATGATGCCATCGGGGAATAAACTGAGCTCTTGCAGTTCCATGGGGAGCTGAATCCAAGCCCAGGTGGTAGTGGCAAGGGTCCAGGAGGCTACTGGTCTAGGCTATGCCTGTTAACGCCTCCTATCACACCTCCTGCCATGCCTCCAGCCTCTGGCCCTGCTGGTGGACCTCCTGATGGCACCTGGGTTTTGGCCTCTGTGTGACACGGAGTGTTGGAATGGAGGGGCCACTGGCCTGATCCATAAGAACATAAGAACATAAGAGATGCCAATGTTGGATCAGGCCAAAGGCCCATCCAGTCCAACACTCTGTGTCACACAGTGGCCAGAAATACCAGTGCCATCAGGAGGTCCAGCAGTGGGGCCAGGACATTAGAAGCCCTCCCACTGTTGACCCCCCCCCCAAGCTTACTTAGGAGCCTTTGATCCAACATGGCTTCTCTCATTTTCCTATGTCTGGGGCAGTGATGCTCTGTATTCTTGGTGCTTTTGGGGGTGTGGAGTTTTGGCCAAACTGGTGGACCTCCTGATGGCCCCTGGGTTTTGGCCTCTGTGTGACACGGAGTGTTGGAATGGAGGGTCCACTGGCCTGATCCATAAGAACATGAGAACATAAGAGATGCCAATGTTGGATCAGGCCAATGGCCCAGCCAGTCCAACACTCTGTATCACACAGTGGCCAGAAATACCAGTGCCATCAGGAGGTCCACCAGTGGGGCCATGACATTAGAAGCCCTCCCACTGTTGACCCCCCCAAGCTTACTTAGGAGCCTTTGATCCAACATGGCTTCTCTCATTTTCCTATGTCTGGGGCAGTGATGCTCTGTATTCTTGGTGCTTGTGGGGGTCTGGAGTTTTGGCCAAACTGGTGGACCTCCTGATGGCACCTGGGTTTTGGGCACTGTGTGACACGGAGTGCTGGAATGGAGGGGCCATTGGCCTGATCCAACATGGCTTCTCTTATGTTTTTATGTCTGGGGCAGTGATGCTCTGTATTTGTGGTGCTTGGGGGCCCACAGTGGGAGGGCTTCTGGAGTTCTGGACCCACTGGCCAACCTCCTGATGGCCCCTGGGTTTTGGCCACTGTGTGACATGGAGTGTTGGAATGAAGGGGCCATTGTCCTGATCCAAAATTGCTTTTCTTATGTTCTTATGTCTGGGGCAGTGATGCTCTGTATTCTTGGTGCTTGGGGGGCAACAGTGGGAGGGCTTCTGGAGTTCCGGCCCCGCTGGTGGACCTCCTGATGGCCCCTGGGTTTTGGCCACTGTGTGACACAGAGTGTTGGACTGGAGGAGAACATAAGAACATAAGAACATAAGAGACGCCAATGTTGGATCAGGCCAAAGGCCCATCCAGTCCAACACTCTGTGTCACACAGTGGCCAGAAATACCAGTGCCATCAGGAGGTCCACCAGTGGGGCCAGGACATTAGAAGCCCTCCCACTGTTGACCCCCCCCCCAAGCACCAAAAAGAAAAAGCATCACTTGCCCCAGAGCCCCTAGCTATACCTTGTGGCTAATAGCCACTGATGGACCTCTGCTCCATATGCTTATCTAATTCCCTTTTGAAGCCGTCCATGCTTGTAGCACCCACCACTTCCTGTGGCAGTGAATTCCATGTGTTAATCACTCTTTGGGTGAAGAAGTACTTCCTTTTATCCGTTCTAACCCGACCGCTCTGCAGTTTCATGGAGTGCCCACGAGTTCTTGTATTGTGAGAAAGGGAGAAAGGGAGCCACTGGCCTGATCCAACATGGCTTCTCTTACATTCTTAACAAGGAGCTAGTCCTCTGCATCTCACACATCGAGGCACTCTCTTCCTGGCAGAGCAGAGAAAACCCAGGAGTGACTGAGCCACCGTGACAAACCTCCCTCACGTTCTCTGCATATCAGGGCAGCTTCTTGAAAGGAGCCACTGGGGTTTCCAAACAGGCAGAGCCTGGCTGCTTTTCACACAACCAACATCATTGGTGAGAGCAAAAACTGACAAAAATGATGGATCCCTGTTTGCCTTTAGGAGGTAAACTGCTAGCACAATGCTGCCCCAGCTTGGATCGGGGCCATGCGGGGAGGCGAGAGAAGAGTTGGGCCTGGCATTGCAATAGCCTTCATTTTATTTATTTATTTACATTTTTGAATTGCCTAATCCCCATGATTGTGGGGCTCTAGGTGATGTAGATTTGAAAACAATAAAAACCATTATCAAAACATGTAATTCATACATTAAGGTCAAGTGAAGAAGTTTTATAGTTCCCTCCCATTTCTGGCCTGTGGGTACTTTATGGGCACTGGGGTGGGGGAGTAGACCCTTCAAAGGACTGGGATCCAGGTAGGGTGCCAGCCAAGATGCAAGCCGTCGCTGCCCTCAACTAAACGCCTGGCAGAACATCTCTGCCTTACAGGCCCTGCAGAATTGTATGAGATCAGGGGTCATTTAGTAGAAAAAGAGGTGCAGGAGCTCATTAGCATAATTTATTTGCATATGCCACACCCCCTGGCATCACCAGACGTGTGTCAGAAGGCAACACCCACCGCTCAGGCTCCACTGGACTGTTTTGGATTGCTAGCTATTGGGGGGGGGGAGTGTAGATCTGTCCTCGCAGAGGAGGGAGAGCTTGTACCTGAATAAAACCTGGTCTTAAAGGTGCCACTGGACTGTTTTGGACCGGGGGGGCGGGCAGGCAGGGCTCTGCAACTTACCTGGCTGCTTCTTGCTCTGACTGAGGGCTGCTGGGAGCAAGGGACGGGGCTTGTTGCATGTGCCCACCCCCTGGGCTCTTTACTGCCGGGGCTCCACTCCTGTGTGCTCCTGCAGGAAATGACCCCTGCATGAGATCCTGCAGGGCCCTGATGTTATTTGACAGAGAGTTCCACCGGGCCAGGGCCAAGAAGGCCTTGACCCTGGTTGAGGACAGCCAGATTTCTCTAGGGCTGGAGACCACCAGCAGATTGTTCTGTGAAGAGTGTCAATGCTCTCCCGGAGGTATGCTAAATGAATTCAGATCCCTCTGTGAAACTGTATTGGGGAAGGGGTAGCGTACCTTCTGTAGAAGAACAGAGATCTGAGATCTTCCTCACGGTCATTTGTGGGTCAGGGAGGGGCTGTGGCTCAGTGGCAGAGCATCTGCTTGGCATACAGAAGGTCTCAGGTTCAATCCCCGGCATCTCCAGTGAAGAGATCTGGCAGTAGGTGATATGAAAGACCTCTGCCTGAGACATAAGAACCTAAGAGAAGCCAGTGTTGGATCAGGCCAATGGCCCATCCCGTCCAACACTCTGTCACACAGTGGCCAAAAATACCAGGTGCCGTCAGGAGGTCCACCGATGGGGCCAGGACACTAGAAGCCCTCCCACTGTTGGAGAGCAGCTGTCTGAGTAGACAATACTGACTTTGATGGACCAAGGGTCTGATTCAGTAGAAGTCATGTCTTCAGACAGATGGGATAGTTTGTCAGAGGCTTTGCAGATTTTGTTCCTGGCACGATCCGCCACTACAGCTCCTGCTTCAAGCCTCTTCAGCCTTCCCTACCTCTCAGCTCAGGGGGTAACTAGTTTGGGGGAGGTGTTCAGGTTTTGAAACGAGGCAAGGCTGTGCTTTTTCTCACGTGACGGGCAACGTTCAGACCAGAGGGCCAAACCAGATGTGACAGCAGCCACCGCGGTTGCTGTGACGTCTATCTTGGCCCTTAGTATTCTTGACGGAAAGAAGCGATAAAAAAAGAAGTCACTTTCTAGGGAAGGAAATAAATCAGTGTCATGGAACAGCTTGGGTGATAGCATGTGTAATTATTATATTTTTTTTCCCTGCTTGTAATTCCATTTATCACTTGTAGGATCCAAGCAAAAATCCCAGGTGCAAAGAGGAAGGCTGAGTAGAGGCGGCAGCGAGGATTTGTCGGCTCACAAGAATGAATGATGAGGGAGTCTGGGACGAAAACAGCCCTGTTCTTACTTTTTACCGGATAACTTATTGTTCCTTTCTCTCTCATTCTCACTGTCTCCGGGTGAAGACAGATGTGGTTTCAGAGCATGTCCTTTAGCTGGGAAGGGGGTCAGTCTGGCTTCCTCCTCGCACCACAGCTGAAATGACTGACATGTGCTCGTGATCCATCCACTGGCCCAGTTTATCACTCGCCCTTCTCCGATGCTTCAGAAAGGTCATCCACAAAAGGGCCTGGTGAACGTTCATGTGTTTCTCTGGTCATTTTTCACCTTATTATTAAATTTTAAGTACCAGATTGCCCGGGAATCAGGGATGGGAAAAGGTTTGGGGCGCTGGCCAATCAGTACTGTGCGCCCAGCCAATTTTTGCTTCAAGCTTCCAGAACGATCAGGCATCTCTGTCCTCACCTCCCTGAGGGAAGGTACTTTTGGACTATACTGTAGCAAGGGTGTTTCTAGAACATCCCTCCCCACACAATGTTACATCTGTCTTCACCCGTTTTCTTCCCTCCCTCCCTCCCTCCCTCCCTCCACCACAATCTCGGGAGATGTGAAACAGTGAAGCAGCCGTCTGTCTTTCCTCTTCTACTGTTTCTGTAACTCTCTAGACTTCTTCTGCAATCACGTGTGTCAGGCACTAAAGTATAGTAAAGAGAAAAAAAAAGTATCCTAGGTGTGGTTCTTGTGTTGCTTCTCAAGTGCATGATGGTGAGAGCCTAATTTTTAAAAAAGAAAGAATATTATTGAACTTTCTCCTTTTTTATTTTCTAGTGCTTCTACTACTATGACTACTATGACAATTTCTTCTATCGGCTTTGCTTCGATAACTTTTAATGTTCCTTGTGGCTACGGGCTTTCCTCTGTTTCGTGCACTGATGCCGTTTGCTTCTTCATCCACTGGGTTCGCTGGTTGGGGTCCTCTTTACTATCTATCCTAGAACCGTAGACTTGACGTCTTTGCGTGTGTTTTCTTTTTTTTTTCCCCCAGCACAAATGAAAGAGCAATGGGTACTTATACGGTATGGTCCATTTTGTATAACTCTCTGTCTCTCTCTCTCTCAAGAAGGAAAAAAAAGAGAAAAGAATGAACAAAAACATCAAACCAACCAAGCCACCCGGTACTTTTCTTTTTTTTTCTTGTTTTTGGTCGTCAAGGGATCGACAGGCTGATTTACATGTATGGGAACTGAAGGCTTCCGGCTTGTTTCATGTATCACAAATTTGTATGATGTTCTCTGTAGGACTTAATTATGGACTCTGAATATTTGCACTTATGTACTTGATACCGAATGCAGAAATAAATGTTATTAAATGTTAACACGGGAAGTTCTCACTTTTTGCTGTTTCGATCACAATTGTATCGCCCCTTTTTAACGTATTTTTTAATTTCTGTTATTTATAGTCCACCTTTCTCACCAGGAGTCAAGGTGTACTGGCGCCGCTTCCCCGAGAGGCACGGGCTGGGATCCAGGAGGGCAGATCACAGGCAAGGCTGTAGAGAGTAACCAAAGTCCAGTCCAAACGTCAGGGGTTCCAGAGAGCAGGTTTACCAAAGTCCAGTCTAGGGTCAAGGAGTTCCAGGCAGCAAGTCCAAGTCCAGGGCCGAGAGAGCTCTTGACAGAAACGGCTCTTTTTCAAGAACAGCTCTTATCATAACTACCAGTAAAACAGTAAATCACCGTGTACAAATAAACAATATAAGTTGATTTTTATCTGCAATGTTTTAGAATTCAATTATCAACAAAATTACAACCATAACACTATAATATGCAATATAAAGCTCAGCAGTACATATAGAATACTACAGTACTAGTTTTAGACAAACGACGGAGTTCTAGTACACTGTCCGTTTGCGAGTCCTTCTTCAGGTTTGTCATTCTGTACTTATATCTTCATTAGAATGAAGTGCTGCAAGCCATATTTCAAAATGTTAATGCTTATACAATTTTTGATGTACGCTACCACGCTTATTCTGGTGACTGGGGAGCTCCTATAGCAAGCTCTAATGTGACAGGGTCTACAGTATATAATAATTGGCTAAGCTTCATTCTAATGAAGATATAAGTACAGAATGACAAACCTGAAGGAGGACTCGCAAACGGACAGTGTACTAGAACTCCGTCGTTTGTCTAAAACTAGTACTGTAGTATTCTATATGTACTGCTAAGCTTTATATTGCATATTATAGTGTTATGGTTGTAATTTTGTTGATAATTGAATTCTAAAACATTGCAGATAAAAATCAACTTATATTGTTTATTTGTACATGGTGATTTACTGTTTTACTGGTTACATTACACCGTGGTCCTGTTTGTTGTAACTTATCAGAACTACGGCTTGCCCAAGGTCATCCAGCAGCTGCGAGTGGAGGAGTGGGGAATCAAACCCGGTTCTCCCAGATGAGAGTCCGCGCACGTAACCAGTACACCAAACTGGAAACATCTTGATGGCACATAACACCCACAATGGTAGTGTCCTCTCTGCATCACACTGTTGCTACCAATGCTCTGGGTTCTAATTTATTTATTAAAAATTATGCTGCTGTTTCACCCGATCAGGTTCCCTAAGGCAGTGCACATAAAAACATTAGAACGATGAAAGCAAAATTTAAACATGTAAAATAATTCCATAAAAACAGACAGTATCAGAACGAAGGAGGAAGGCCAATAATGGTTCTAAAGGGGGGGGGGTGTTTAAAGAACAAGTCTTTTCTCCTTTAAAATGCCGATAGAAGAACAGAGGAGCAAGTTCTAAATAGTGAAATGAAGTGGAAGTTGAAGGGTTAACCGCTCTCTCCCTTCCTTGCATAGCCCAGAGGCAAACTGAGGCTTCCCGTACCTGCAGTTTCCATACTATGGAGAGAACAAAAGGCATGATCTTCTGGCTGAGGGACGAGGTGTCAATATTCCTGGCGGACGAGAAGTTCTCCTTGGCAGCACTATAGAGGTGGTTGACGTCCTTCAGAAAAATCCGCTTCTCGCTGTTTGGGAAGGATCAGTAAGGCAATTACAAATAGTACTAGCAGCAACTGCAAACAATGCTAGCACTGAGGGCAGAATCAACGCAGGCTTCCAGAATCCAAGAAAGTCAGGGACCGACAGGCGGCTTTTACAAAGTCTCTGCATTCAGTCCCATAAGACAGTCAGTTATACATGAGCCCCCAACTACAATCGGTGCTTTTCAGTTGTCAGAACCAGCGTTCCCTCTAAGCTGTGGAGTCTTGTGAGCAAGGTTTCTACTTTGTGAGTTGCTGGCATTCAAGTTGTGAGCGAGTGATTCAGCTACTGCCTAACGTAGTTTGCTCTGGAGCCCTCCTCCCTGAGCGAAGACAAAAATGTGTGAGCCGGAGGCTAAAACACTGTGAGCTAGCTCACACTAACTCAGCTTAGAGGGAACACTGGTCAGAACCCCCTGTGCATTCCAGGTGGCTGACCGACCTCGTCATTCTGCATGGTTGTTTGTATCCGTACAGCGGAACAGAACCACAGAATTATTTTATCGAAACCCAAACAGTGTTGGAGACTCTTTATCACAGCAGGGCATTTATACATGAACGTCATTCCCTGTGTGTGAATTCTCACGTGTGAATTCTTGGATGCTAAATATGACCTGACTTATCCCTAAAGCTTTTCCCTACTTTTTTTTTTTTAAACGTTGTGTTTATTTCAAATTTCCCCAAAAGTACAGTAATATCATACAGTGCCAATGCAGGACATAGTGTTAACCAAACAAACCCCCCCTGCCTGAATGCAATAATCAAACAGTCCTATGGTTGCAAACAGTGTGGAATTAAACTAGTGTTACAATTCAGTGTCATGACAGTTTGAAAGGATATAAATACAGTTGTTTGATCCATGTTGACTAGTATTTATGAGAAGCCTTAATCTGCAAGTTATAGAATACCCGATAGCTTATCAGAGTACACCTCAGGGGGACAAGAGGCCGTATGGTTGTCAAATTCTGTGAGATACTGGACAACAGGGAACCAGAGCTTCACTTACACAGATGTCTAATACCCGCCTCCTCCATATTTTAACATTTAGACGATTTGACAGTTCTGTGGACTCCATGGTGTTGAGGGAAAGTATCTAACAGAGTGGATGGCTTCGGTGTCATGAAGCACCACCAAGACTAAGAGAGTCCTTGGCCTTGGTGTCAAAGATGTTTCTCGGGTCTCACTGAAGATGTCTCCTCTGCCTTGGGCTGGTAGCGTACCTGTTCCTCCAACTCCATATGAGTTAGAGTTGCCAATACAATTCTCTGGTATGACCTGTTAGGTCAGGTAATACTGTATTAAAGGTAAAGGTAAAGGTTCCCTTGCTCGAAAGCCAGTCGAATGCGACTCTAGGGTTGCGGTGCTCATCTCCGTTTCAAAGCCGAAGACGTTTCCGTGGTCATGTGGCCGGCATGACTAAACACCGAGGCGCACGGAACGCTGTTACCTTCCCACTGAAGTGGTCCCTATTTATCTACTTGCAATTTCTTGCTTTCGAACTGCTAGGTTGGCAGGAGCTGGAACTAGAGACGGGAGCTCACTCCGTCTTGCGGCACCCGGGTCTCGAACTGCTGAACTACTGACCTTCCACCGCCTGCAGTTCAGCGTCTTAACCACTTGAGCCACCGCAGCTCCTGTTAATAGCACTCAGAGTGTTTTTAGTAGCAGTAGGTTAAGATAAAGCTAATCTGTTGTCTTGGGAGTGGTCCTTGCTGCTCTCTGTCATCCAAATCACTGGTGGCCTGAAGCATAGCGGAGGCCATCAGGGTAATAAATGTCTGGTCAGCAAATTCCGGTGCTCTTGGGCCGGGGGAAGTGCGGTGGGCCTAGGTGGGGTTTTAAGGGATGGACACAGAGAAACAGAGCGGCTCGGCGCCCTTCCAGCCTACGGCCCATCCCAATGGTGGCTGGCAGTGGGGCCAGGATGAAGAACCCTCCTCCGCAGGCCCGTAGCTAACATGGGGCCCACGGGGCCCGGCCCCCTTGCGTTTCTTCTGGGCCCCCTCCCTCCGGGGCTGCCCCCAAAGTGCTCCAACGTACCACCTGCACTGTACTTCCATTTAATTAGCTGGCGCCCCCCCAAGGCCCCCTCCCAAAGAATTCCCTAGCTACGGGGCTGCTCCTCCGTCACTGGTGCTGTTTAACGCCAGGTCTATTAATAACAAAGTTACAACCCTTCGGGATTTTGTACAAGAACAACTGTTGCGCGCTGCGTGTAGCACAGCGTGTCTACTTCTAGCCAGCAGCAGTCAGCCACCAGGACTGTTTCAGCCACTCCCAACTCACCAGCCACTCACCAGCACTCAGCTGCAGAGTAAGCTCTGTATAGCACCACACAAGACAGTCCTGTGGTAAACTATATACAGAATTTATTTACAATATTTACAGTCCTCAGACAAAGTGCTCCGCCAATCACCATTACACGAGAAGAGAATGAACAGGGCAGCACTTGTCCAGTTATATACAGACACTGACCAATCAGCTAAGTGCTGACTCATTGTCACTGACCTCATCCTCTATCAGGACCAAACCG